GGATTTAAATGACCCCTAAAGGTCCTGATATATTTCAAGCGAAATCGAAGAACGAATTGATGTGACATGAGCTCGTTTCAGGACTTCAAAACAGCTTGCCAAAGTGAACTTTCCACAAAGTTTCGCTGGTAAACACCTTTGAATTTCTATTGGTCCATGGCGATTATGTAATAGGTAGGTGTGGCTCTGGGGCACCGCCTCCTTTGACATGGAAATCCAGCTCATCTCATCTGTTCAGTCTGTCGAAGTCAGACGCAAGGAAAAATACAAACACACTGGAGAGCTGCTTTATAGTAGACATTGAAGTCACAGTGTCAGTTGTAATTAAAATTGTGATTAAAAGTGACACTGACACTGTTTTTCATGTTTAATACTGTAAAACTGTTTGCTTTAAAGCAATATATTGTATATAAGTGCTATATAAATAAATGTGACGTTACTGGACTGGAGTGCTGAACTGCAGAGCATGTGCAAACATATCCACATTACTATGATCAGATGCTTTCTTAACTGCTGTTTTCTCACTCGTCACTCTCAGTAGTGTGGACTGCAGACAATGAAAACAGACAAAACATCCCACTTAATGTAACTCACATTAGCTGAATTTCAGAAGCAAAAAAATGCCCATTGTCAAACGCCAATAGTGTAACAATGCCTGAAGCTCACATAAAAAAACCAAGAAGCTTTCTGTTGCTCAATTCAGCGAATTTGCATGACCAACTTGAACATGAGCAAAATTTGTGTGGGCAACTTTTTCGCCCTCACGTGAAACTGCAGATCGCATGGATTCCTACTGAAATGACTGGCGGAATTTTGCAGCACAACTGTATGTAATGTGTAATCTGTAATGTGACTACCTTTACACTGAAGAAGGGATACTAGCCATATCTAGAGAAGAGAACATTGTAAACGCATAGAAGGCAGCTTTTTTGACAGTTCTGCCGGTAAAGCAAAATTAGCAACCATATATTATTTCATGAGCAACAATCTAAAACATGCTAGCAATATGCTAAAAGCACCCAGAACATTCTAGCAATACTAACATACCGACATGCTAGAAACTACTCTGACAAGCTAAGCAACCACATCACTACAGCATTCTGACAACCACCCACAGCACTCCAGCATAGTGGCGTTGACTTGTTTGCTTAGGCAAGCACTACTCACATTTTCTAGTTATCTCTTCAGAAAACCTGTTTTATTTCCCTTGCAGGATTTTAAGTCATAGAAATTACTATTGCTCCCATAAAACTGGTATATGAATCTAAATGAATGATGCTGTACCTCTTTTATTACTGCTTTATGTCGTGAATGTAGTGACGGATGACTTTACATTGCTCTTTTGAGCATCTCAGGGGCCAGGTTCTACTATCCAAACCCAGAATATAAAAGATATCTGTGATCTTATATCAAATAGAAATAGTCAATTCTGCCAACAAGCTCATCCAACTGGCTCATCAACATTCGGGGTTTACAAAAAACGTTCATGTTCCTTGTCGCAGGCTTCAAGGAAATGCGTGTGTTTGCGATTTTCACAGACCTGTTTGAGAGGTAATGAAATATTGTTGCAACAGCTAGGATGATTACAATGCTTTATTTAGGCCCCCCTAAATAGACAGCCCCTCAACGCTGTATTATAGCCTGCATTGAAAAATCCATCTCGCGCTGCCATGAATAATTTTGACAAAAAGGAATGTTAATCAATTTGAGGCAGAGTTGTGAAATGCTGACACTTTGTTTGCCTTCAAACTGTTGCGAGACACTGGAATTAATTTCATCATTTTTTTTCTGGCTCAGTCACAAAGAGGGTAGCACATTTGTGCTTTTAAGCAGCGCTTATCATATTGTTTCACTTCAGGACCCAGGTTTTACTTTGGAAAAGTACTAAAATTGTTTTTAAAAATTATAAAAATAGTCTTTAAATGAAACATTGAAATGTATTAATACTGAAAGTAGTGAGTTTTAATTAACGTGTGTTTTTATGTAAAAGATATGGGAAGCATTTCATTAAAAAAATGGATGTAAAGGCAATAAAAATGAAAATTTGCTGAAATTTGCTGAAAATGTACTCACCCTCAGGCCATCCAAGATGTATTTGAGTTTGTTTCTTCATCAGAAATGCTTTATATCAGTTATATCAGTTTCTCACCAGTGGATCCTCTGCAGTGAATTTAAACAGCTGATAAAAAACATCATAAAAATCCACAAGTGATCCACACCACTTCAGTACATCAATTAACATCTTGTAAATGAAAAAGCTGCTTCTTTTAACCATTTAAATGTTAATTTAGTATTTTAAGTTTAAACTGGTCCCTTCTGGCCAATACTAGCACAAGTCCCTGCTGTCCTCTTACATCAAAATCCACTGACATATTTGTTTAGAGCTGTTTTTAACTGCTTTCGCTTGTAAACTTGATCTGTGCATATTTCTCACATGATTCAGATGAGACCATTTTCACTTAAGCAATATAATGGATTATGGACTCGTATTTTAGCCAGATGTAATGGTCTGAAGTAAAAAATAAAAAAAATAAAAAGTTTTTGTGATGCTTTTATCAGCGTTTTTTTACTCTCATTCTGACGGCACCCATTCACTGCAGAGGATCCATTGGTGAGCAAGTGACGTAATGCTAAATTTCCAAATCTGTACAGATGAAGAAACAAACTTCAAAAACGAAATCTTGGATGGCCTGTGGGTAAACATGTGAGTAAATTAAAAAATTTTGGAAGAAGAACTTTTCCTTTAAAAATTATTAAATTTTCTAGCCTAATGATTTTATGATTAATTGCATTTTATTATGTGCAATAAGCATTGTTTTTGTTGTTGTTGTTTTCCTTTTGTCTAAACAGAACAGACCTGTGGTGCAATTTTGGGTTGTGACTTACCAACTGAAAACGTCACAACATGGACAGTATCGCGAGCCGATCTACATGGTATACATATTTAATATGCAGGTTGTGATGAGGAGATGATGTCAAAAGATGAGAGGGACAAAAGGTGCTCTCCTTTTGTTACACTCCCTTTGGCCAGCTATTAATGAAGCACTCTACTGTGATTCATAATAAACACAATGGCCTGTTCTTACAAGCGCTCAGATTTCTCGGATCATGTCAGATGAGCATAACAGCGAAGGATAGAAGCAGAAAGGATAACATCTTTACTGCTCCAGATCCTTTGTTATATCTTGAAAAGGAGCTGAAATTGGCTTACATTAAGGAGGACAGTGCAAAATATGGAAACGTTCATTAAAGTCATTTAGCAGTTGAACAAAGGGGTCCTGGCCTACATATAACCCTGATTTATTTCACCCTCATGCTGTATTCATAAATGTGTTCTATATATAGACAATTTAGGAGTTTTATCCTCCAAGATGAGCTCAGACTACACGGGTATGACAATGTCAACCGAGAATACATTTTGTAATACTTACAATATTACAATATGGTGTGGTAATACCACACCATATGTAATCTGCAAGTCTTTTCATATTTTTCCACTGAGAATTGTATGAGGATATAACTACCATTTATTATATACTACAAGTATTCTGCACACAAGAGTGGACAGAACACTTCATGTCTTGGTAGATTTTCTGAAACCATATTCATATCTCTCCTACACCATATTCATATCTCTCCTACAAAATATGTACTTTTTAAGAGTTTAAATGTGACCTTCACATAACATAAAAGTTCAGTTTATCTGTTAGTTTTAATAAAGTAGTTGAAGAAACACCCACACGTGTTTTTCTGCAAAACTATTTTGGCTGTTTTTCCAGCAAATACTTCAACAGCAGATCTAGGAAATATTAGGGATAATTTTAGCACCAGCTGCTTAGATCCTGCAGCACAGATAAGGGAAGAGGGAGCAAATAGAGGCAACACATATGGCAGGACTTATAACACTGACATATAACACTGAATTCTATAGAACACTAGCAGCAGCATGATTCAAACAAAAAAAAAAATCCATAATGAGATAAAGCAGGATTTTAAATCATGTTTTCAAACACTTCCTGGAGCTCAAAAGGTGATGTTCAAGAACAATCACCTATTGTTACTGGCATAATTGCATAGATTTCCCCCAATTATTTTTTTCTAAATTTTACATTTAAATCAGATTTATTAAAAAATAGAACATTCTCTCACATCACCCCCAGGGCTCTGTGTTAAACTGTATTTAATTTTGAGACATCATTATTCATCTGCTTGTTTTGTGTCAGTAATAATCCTTATTAAGACAAAGCAAAGAAGATAAATGCTTTCTCGTCAAAATACATGCCCCAGACATAAGCCATGGCAGACTGCCATATCAAATTCATAACTCTTCAAGTAGTGCAGTGTAGTGTTATGATGGTGATAAAATCCTACCATTGTTCTGATGAAAATACTGACAGTTGCCTAGTTTCAATCCTCCACTTTTGAGGCTAATCTTTCAAAATCTCTTTGGTGACTATCAGTTTGGTAAATTATATTCAAATTGTCTATAAAGTACGTTAAACTGATCTTTCCCAACCAGAAGTCTCAGCGTTTATGGATAGCTCTTGCATATCGCAATACGGTATTTGACTTTAAAAACTTAAATGCTGAGCTTGAACAGATCAATCCCATAACACCAGACACTGAAACCTTTCATGAATAACATTAACAAACATTATTCAATCACTTACCCTTGTGCCGTTCCAAACCTGCATGAATTTATTTCCTCGGTGAGAAAAAAAATCAATGACATGAGTTTTATTTTGACTTATTTCTTTAACAAATACACATTCAAAACACCAAGAGCCTTTGGCTCATATATTTACCTTAATAGTAATATAGTATGCTCTGATCTATTAAGCATTATTTAGCTTTCCATTAATGGAAGTTAGAATAACGTTACCACCAGTAATGTCAGTCTAATGCGCATCCGCGCCCTCTGTCCTCACAAATAGGAACTACACTGACATTCCAAGCCGAATATCTTTGAGTCGCTCTTCCTTGAGTCTCATGGACTCAGCCAATCTGAATGCTGTGACGAGGAGAGGCAGGATCCCAATATTTAACACACAGGGCACTGATAAATCTACACCTGTCACTGCCTGCTCCTCATGAAGAACTAATGCACTTTATCTCCCTCCTCACATACTGAAGATATCCACACATGGGACTCCCGATTCGACATCAGTGCGGCTCTTGAGAAGTCAGAGGCGATTTCCTCGTGTTTTGTCATTATTTACCGGGACATTTTACAGATGCGCATTATCATGAACCTGTAAGGATGCGACAGGACATCTGAACCTCGCCTAAAATCAAAATCGCGCTCCTCGCAACTATGCCGAAAAGAAATCGTTCTTGATACATCTGGGAACCGCAGGATGCAGAAGAAGATTTTCGCACCTATTTGAACATGGATCTCCCATCATTACGCGGATTACAGTAGGACACCACATGCGCCCCTGAATCTCTTTATTATAGCCTGTATCATATTGTGGCAAGTGCTTTAGGTGTAAAGATGATCCTATTTCGTAAATTTCGCGTGTTGATTTTAATGGTGTTTCTCGTCGCCTGCACCATGCACATCATGATAGACCTGTTACCCAAGCTGGAGAAGCGCGCGGCGGGATCGAGCTCCAGCGCTGGAGGTGGAGGCGGCTGCTCCTGCGCTCACACACCGGGCGAGGAGCCTCGATCCTGGGCCAAACAGCGCGCCAGAGCCGGCGCCGCCGAACCGGGCTGGCCTAATAAACACTCTTTGAGACTACTGCAGGATTTCAGCAATGAACCAAACTCCAACCTCACTTCGCACTCGCGGGAGAAGGTGACAGAGAGAGCCGAGTCTGAAAAGAAAGTGAGACAGCTGCAGCTGGGCTCGGAGAAGAGGGTTTTGATGAGAGATACGGTGAGCGGACAGAAGCAGAGAGCTGTCCATAGTTTCTCCAGACTGAAGGCGCTCTATGAGCATCCCCTCTATAAGACCGACCTGCCTCATCTCTCTGAAGATGACACCTTGTTCAACCTCAACAATGATATCAGATTCTACCCCAAAGCTGCCGGACAACAAGAATGGCAAGTGCTTCTTTAAACCTGGCCAGCAAACCGCTCACCCACACGACGCCATACACGCTGTCTGCCATCTGCCCTGTACAGTGAAAACTGGGATTCATCCATGAAGAGAACACCTCTCCAAAGTGCCAGACGCCATTGAATGTGAGTACTTGCCCACTCAAGTCGGTTAAGACGACCAACTGCAGTCAGGACGAGACCCCGATGAGGACGACGACCATTCAGATGAGCTTCCCTGAGACGGTTTCTGACAGTTTGTGCAGAAATTCTTTGGTTATGCAAACCGATTGTTGCAGCAGCTGTCCGGGTGGCTGGTCTCAGACGATCTTGGAGGAGGAGATGCTGGATGAGGAGGTCCTGGGCTGGTGTGGTTACACGTGGTCTGCGGTTGTGAGGCCGGATGGATGTACTGCCAAATTCTCTGAAACGCCTTTGGAGATGGCTTATGGTAGAGAAATGAACATTCAATTCACGGGCAACAGCTCTGGTGGACATTCCTGCAGTCAGCATGCCAATTGCACGCTCCCTCAAAACTTGCGACATCTGTGGCATTGTGCTGTGTGATAAAACTGCACATTTTAGAGTGGCCTTTTATTGTGGCCAGCCTAAGGCATCGCACTGCGCCATCTAGAGTTTCATGCCAGAACTCTGTATATTTTCAACTTTTCATTTCGTAATTATGACTTTTAAAATCATTTCTACATTTATTTCATAATTATGACTTTTAAAGTCATAATTTCGACTTAGCAAGTCATCATTTCATTTTTATGAATATGTCATAATTTCGACTTTTCAACACATAAATTTTTTTCTTATGTGGCAGAAATTGGCTTCTAAACGTACTAAAATAATATAATGCTAATATAATATTTAATATAATATAATATTTAGTCTGAGGTTGACATTTCTAAAGGATAAGCAGCATTTTTCCCTCTTCATTTGCTGAAAAAGGAAACATTTGACTTCAGTTTGAAGAGTTTCAGACCGTATTTTTGTCCCTTATTCGTGGACAGTGCCATTTGGAAGTATTTTATTTAGAAGCTTGTGAGGTGTACAGAATGATCCGCATAGACATGTTTATGTGTGCATGCACTCAGGCACTTGAGATGGCTAGTGAACATCAGGACCTATTTCTGTAGGCAGAATGATGGCAGAAGCGGCACACGCACACATCCTTTTATTCCCAAGAGAGAGTATGATTGACAACTACTCTTCCTCCATTAGTCTCTGAAAGTCCACCCTAAGATCTTACGTGACTTATTTTTTCCAGCCCTGTGCAGTGTGAGACGTCTGTATTGTGATGCTCTTATGAAACAGTCTCTGATTTAAGAAACTATAACTACATACATCAAATTCCCTTTGCTTTGTCTGGTAGCTAACATCTAAATGAAAAGGATTTATTTGAATGAAAAATATTATTTAATGAACCTGAGAGCAAATAAAGTCATTTTAAGGGTTACTGAAAATAGATTATTAATAGTGAAGTAATTTCTGCACCACTAGTGTCACCAACTTTGCGGGGAAAAGAGAAGTACACTTTAGCTTTTAAAGAGAGTACTTGTTATGGAAATAATTTAGTTTAAAAGAACAGGTGTGAGATGAATGTAATGTTTTCAGACACTTAATTGCATGTTAATGAAAATGTATTATAGTTTAAATTTATATTAAAATCAGTTAGCTGAACAGTTTTTTCGACCCACTCACTGTATATGTAATTTCATAATTACTTATGTTGTCTTTGAAATATGGTTAAAGTGTACTGCCGTATTACAATATAGCCTATATTTGTAATTAAACTATTTTTAATGATAAAGTTGTAATTTAGTACATTCAAATATATTAACTTTTCAGAAAGTTACAAATGGCTTAATTTTCTGCATATTTAACAGGGATAGGAGAAGATATTTAACATAAAAAAATCACTCTTCACCCCCTATGGTCTTGGTTCACTTTTTACAGAGTGGTTCACTGCAGCCTCTGGAACAAATAGCACTTTCCTGGAGGTAATTTCAGTCATATTAGGATTAATTAAGGTTATAAATTTAGCACTCAGTGAATAACGCTGTTGTGATTGCTGTGCTTTCAAAAATTACTCTAAAATAGTGTTTTGCTGGAAACATTTTGCAAAAATAGGACAGATTTAATCAAATAAATAGAGCAGTTCTCCAGGGATTGAAGCAAATCAAAAGATGTGTGGTTTAACAATACTTATTTGTGTATGTGTAGACCCAGATCCACCAGATAATAACACTAAGAGCTACGGCATTATGGCTTGGTTCCAACTGACGTGTCTATGCTCAACTAATGAGTTCAATAAGACTTTACTGCTGCAGAATTGCACAGGTGCCCTCTGGGGAAATATGATACAGAATTTTTGGATTACTCAACGTAAAGCCGTATCAGCCAACTTTGCTGTCCAATCTCATTAATCAGCCTGACAAAATAGTTTTCTGCTGATCTAAGGTCAGTATCCTGACTTTTCTCATAGTTTTAAGACTTCCAGAACTAGAGTGTCTGGATCTGGCATTTAAAAAGATATTGCGAGACATGCACTGACACAGCCCCTGCTGAGAAAGCCGTGAGAAACATCACTTCACTGTAGACAGTATGGTGTAATTTTGGGGGATTATTCGCTTTGTAGTAAATATGATTTGTTGTGACTAACTTAAGCTGCCAAAGGCCTATACACACACAAACTGCTTGTGCACACTGGCAAGGGACTTCATTTGAGATGAAATGCCCATATGGTTGATTGGTTCATTCTTATGAAAGTCTTTTTACCTTTCTTTGAAGGGATATCAGGGGCTGTTTAATATCTGCAGTTCTTAGGTCACCGTAAGGACGTTTTCCATGCTTACGAAGATGTGGTACTACTCACACAGTCCTAAGGAAACAATCACAATTTATTTTTCTCCCAAACAAAATGCATATTTTAGCATATATTTTAAGCAGAAATGTAATCTTTATAAAATATAATGTAGTGTATTACACACACACACACACACACATATATATATATATATATATATATACAGTATATATATATATACTGTATATTAGTGCTGTCAAACAATTAATCGCATCCAAAATAGTTTTTGTTTACATAATATATGTGTATGTACTGTGTATATTTATTATGTATATATAAATACATACACATACCGTATATATTTTGAAAATCTGTACATGTGTTTACATGTATATATATTTATATTTAATATTTGATATATAAACATAAAAAAAATTCTGAAATATATACATGCATGTGTGTGTATTTATATATACGGAGCATAGGACACACACAGGAAGACGTACAAAAACAACTGAAAGGACTAGGGATTTTAAACACTGGGTGATTGGGAAAACACAGGTGCAAGGAATGACTAATTAAAGGGAACACGGCACACCTGGGGAGGGAAAACACAACATAATGAGTCCAGGGGCGTGACAACATGTCTATATTTATATTCATATAATTTATATTATAAGTAAATATATTTAATATATAAACAAAATATTTTTCTGAAATATATACATGCATGTGTGTGTATTTATATATACATAATAAATATGCACAGCACACACATATATTATGTAAACAAAATGTTTTATTTTGGATGTGATTAATTGCGATTAATCGTTTGACAGCACTAATATATATATATCATTATATATTAGATATAACATATCATTTCTTTTCTTTTTTTTACTATTTACTATAACTATAATAACCCTGGTGTGAATTACAAAAAAAACAAGAGTCATGTCATTGACCCTTCATTTGAAGTACCATGAGGCCGTCATATTGTAGTAACTCACAAATTTGCGCCATAACTCGTTACTGATGTTTCAACCATTTAACTCTTCCACTCTCATAAACAGCAGATGGTTGCTTAGCTAGTCGTGGGAATCTACATATATTCATGAGATTTTCTGACAGTCTGATGAAATACACTAAGAAATCATCACTACTGTTTACAAGACTGCAAAACATCACTGCTAATACATGCTTGTGTGAGTTAGAGCGAAAGCTTTTTAGCATGAACGCTGGAAGAGAAGATTGTGTTAGTGTGTGTGGGTGTGTGGGTGCATATTGTCTTGTTTTTAGAAAGCTGGTCGGCTGGTGTTACAGTAATTATGTTTCCTTCACAGCTATGAAGTCAGGTGGCACTCAGCTGAAGCTCATCATGTCATTCCAGAACTATGGACAAGCACTGTTCAAACCTATGAAGTAAGTGATATTGCAATCTTTCAATTTAATGAATGCACGCCCAGTGGAGAACCAGTTTTTTTCAGAATGTACCCTGCATACTTTCATTCTAAGTGTATTTAAGAGGCGTGGACTAAGTCTTTTGTGTTTCAACAAAAACATGTTGTTCTGCTTTTGGATGTTGTCCAAGATGATGATATATGTAGATGTAGTCTTTCTACAGCTGTAAAGAATGTATGAGTAAAGAGAAAAGCTGTAAAGAGAAGTATGTTAAAATAGAATGAGGTTTACAAATGACACAATCAGTTTAAACTCACATCATTTTTCTAACTCTTAGGCCTTAAAGGGATAGATTCCAAAAATGAAAATTCTGTCATCATTTATTCACCCTCATTTCGTTCTAAACCTATATGTGTTTCTTTCATTTGTGGAGTAAAATAAGAAGAATATATTTTGAAGAATGCTGGTAACCAAACTGATTTGAGTCATGTTCACTTCCATGGTATGGACAGATATACTATTGAAGTCATTTTGAACCTAAATGTTTGGTTGCCAACATCCTTCAAAATATATTTTTGGTTACCAACATTCTTCAAAATATATTTTTGGTTCCCAACATTCTTCAAAATATATTTTTGTTGCCAACATTCTTCAAAAAGTTATTTTGTTTACCAACACTCTTCAATATGTTTTGTTACCAACATTCTTCAAAATATCTTTTTGTTACAAACATTCTTCAAAATATATTTTTGGTTACCAACATTCTTCGAAATACACTTTTTGTTGCCAACATTCTTTAAAACATACTTTTTTGTTACTATCATTCTTCAATATATATATATATATATATATTTTTTTTTTTTTGTTACCACTATTATTCAAAATATCTTTTTGGTTACCAGCATTCTATAAAATATATATTTTTGTTACCAACATTCATCAAAATATACTTTTGGTTACCAAAATTCCTAAAAATATACTTTTGGTCACCAACATTCTTCAATATATCTTTGCTGGTTTCCGACATTATTCAAAATATCTTTTTGGTTACCAACATTCTATAAAATATTGTTTTGGTTACCAGCATTCTTCAAAATATCTTCTTTTGTGTTCTACAGGGAAATAAAATAGCAATATATAAAATGCATACAGGTTTGGAATCACATGAGGGTGGCTAAATAATTTTCACTCAGTGATTTTGTAAAATGTTGGGGTGGACTGTCCATTTAAGCCCGCTTATTAGGATATTTAACAAAGCAAAGATAAATTGAATAAGCAGTTATTTACCTAAAAATCCCCATTTAAAAAAATTATTCTTTAAGCCCCTAAAAACTGCACCTGAGTTTAATGCTTATTAGAGTAACAAGCATTCATATGATCTTTCCTGGTGGGTAATGATCAGTCTGGTTTTAATTAACATCACCAGGCGTACGCATTAATTAAAAACTGCAAGACACTATCCCACGCTCTCGGGGATATTTGCCAGCAGAAGCTGTAACAGCCACACATAAAACAGGGTGGATCGACGGAGTGTGTCTGCCATATTCCCTCTGTTGAAACAACACTGCCAGGGCTACCTGACTCATTTGTGATCAAATAATTGCTAGGGGATGCTTGATTGCTTCCACCCAGAGGAAAACCTTTTTTGTCGTTGTTTTCTTTGATTATGCTTTGTCATTGCCATCTGTGATTTCTTAGTCTTTCTTGGTGGGTACAGACACAAACAGTTGGTGGCTAAAAACACACACAGTTATTGCACAACAGTAGCATCAGGAGATGTGCAATTCACACACCAGACAAGGTGGCGTATGCATGTTTGGATTAGCACTCCCTGCTGAAAATAATGACTGGCTTAGGCCAAGATGAATTACTTCTATTTTGATGTAGGGGTGTACAATACAGTATTGTTTAGAAATCTTAGGCAAGTCAGATGTTTTCTTTTTTTTTCAAGATGGTTATTTTTATCTTTTGCTTTAGTGTACCAGTAGGAAATTGTGATTTCCAAACAGTCCTTTTGCCATTAAAGGCATAGTTCACCCAAAAATGAAAATTTGCTGAAAATGTACTCACATCCTCAGACCATCCGAGATCTAGATGAGTTTGTTTCTTCATCACAGCAGATTTGGAGTAATTCAGCTTTAATTTAATTTAGCTTTTATTTTAGTTTTCAAAGAGATGGAACAAATGAGAAACACTAAATCCGTAATAGCTGTGGCAATATTTCCAGGATGCTTGGAGAAATATACCTGTAAATATACCTTATAGGTGCTTTATGTAATTTTTTGACTGTACTAACATATAAAAACACTATAATACATTTGCAGATATTTAGGTAACATGCTAAGTTCACATACTTGTTTCTCCGAAAAACAATGCTACAGCCAGTTATTCAGCTTTGAAAATCAGCATTCCGTGTCAGGATGTCTGTTTTTGTTTTGGTCGGTGGGATTCCACCCAATTACAGTTTACCCAATAATATGTCGACAGTCTGGGTTGCCAGTTTGCAGAAGCATACTGCAGCCATGGAAGCGAGCAAACGAACTGGGTCAAAGATTGCAAATTCTACCTGATTTAAAAAGCTTTGGCGTCCATATTAAAAGCTGTATGACCAGAGGCATGTTCAAATCAACTCATCAGTTTTCAGTGTAAAGTTCGTCGCCTTTAATTGTCAGTTGCGCTCGATCGTGTTGCATGTCCTCAATCTGACAACCCGTGTGAGCATTGAGTCTGAGGAGGAGGGGGAGAAACTATGTTTTTAATTTGGATCGCAGTAACCATTTAAAATACTAGCCGTCATTATTGCATACTGCACTTTTAAAATTGTGTGCAAGTGTACCAAGGACAAAAGCTGTTTTGGATGCTCATGACAAATGTTGATTTAATTTAGTTAATACAAGTAGTTAAAAGAAATAAATTGTTACAATCTACTTTTGACATGATTTTTTTTTTTTATTATTTCACACAGGACTAAAACTTTTCACATTACTGTATCGAATTTGACATTAAGGTCATGACTAGATCTGAGAAGGTGATCGCTGTCTCTTTATGATTCAGGAGGAAATCTTGGTTTGGATTTATATGATGCACATTTGCTAGGGTAACTTATGTTATCGACACAAAAAACAAACACTGCGTATTGCATGTTTTCTGTTGAAATCCCAGCTTTCATCTAGTTCTCAAGAAAGATCATGAAAGGAGACAATATTTTAGTGGAGTGTTTAACAATGCAATGTAATAAAAGCAATAATTAAACAATAATTTAGACAGAGACAACAACTGACAGATTAGACTGGCAAACACAGAGTTCTCTTTAGCTGCATTTCACAGTTGTGAGCAATTATACTTTGGAAGTGTTAATTAACTTCTGGCATTCATGTAACCCTTGGCATTCATTTCTCAGTTTATGCTTTGAACGATCACTGCTAAAAAGCAAATACCAAGTACTAAGCTTGAAGAATCATCTGTTCATCATATCATTGACATGAATGGCCTTCCATATGGTCCCACTCAAACCACTGAACATCCAGAGCACACGGCCACCCTCACCGCAGCAAGCAGGTGCTTTTTCATCCCAAATAAAGCTGCAGGTTTCCCCCTTTTCCCAGGCTCTACATCTATCTCCCGCTCCGAGAAGGCTATAGATTTCTCCAGCTCTAAAAGCTGGAAGTATTTCCCAGACTCCCCATTGACGGCATGGGCCACCCTTTCCCTCACCTGCCCCTCTTTGCAGCCATACTAAGCATCAAAGCTTCTTTTGATGTGCAGCTGCTTTGAGCAGGATGCTAATCTATCTGCAGGCGCATGGAGGGCTAACAGCTCTGGTTCCAGCCGTCTTAGAAAGCCGTGTGTGTATGTGAGAGGAGTTTATTGAACTTGAGTTATCTGACTGGGATCTAGGTGCAAATCCAGCAATAAATCATTGTGCAACCTTTCACTCTACCTTCTCCATGTTCATTCAGAAACCAGCCGGTGGGACTTGTGCCATGGAAAAGCACTCATCCCATCAAAATGAGGAAGGAGTAGCTGTATTTTACAGGAAAGCCATGCTCACTGAATGGTTTAATTATTCCACACCACAGCAATGAATGCTACTGATCGCCATGGAATGAGAAAGGAGAGAGAGATAAGATTAGAAAAAGACAGAGAGACAGAAAAAAGCCCTTGTGAAATCAGGAGGAAATCTTGGTTTGGATTTATATGATGCACATTTGCTAGGGTAACTTATGTTATCGACACAAAAAACAAACACTGCGTATTAAACAGAAAAAAGCCCTTGTGAAAAAGAAATGCACTTTTAAAAGGAGAATCTGTTACAGAAATAATATACTTAAAAAAAAAAATACTCTTCAGTGTGAACTGAATGTAATGTTTTCAGACATCCTGAAAAAAAGGATTATAGTTTACATTTATATTATATGAAAACATTTTTATATCATGCATTTAATTATATTTGTAAATATAAATTTGTAATAAAGAGGCAGTTTACTACATTTAAAATATATTAATTTAACATTTGCCAATTAACACTACAGTTACATTTATAATCAAGTACTTCACATGTGTTTTGTATGTTAGTCAACACAGCAAAATAAGTTTACTTCTTAAAAGCATGGCAAAAGAATAATAAAACAATGATTTTACACACTGTACTCAAACTGTTAATTTGCCATTACAACAAAATGTTCTTTAAAAGTCTACTCCAGTGTGTTAAGAAACAGCATACTGTTACAGGGCTGACGAGACGTGAGACGTGCGGATCCATGTGCAAACTTTGTGGAGAAGACAGAGACGTGGTCAAAACAGGCATGGGTCAGATAGAGGCAGACAGGTATATGGTGGGCAAAACACAAGAATAGTCCTAGGGCTAGCGCAGGTCGACGATCGGCAGACAGAATCAAAAAGGGCAAGACAAAAGGGGTGAATCCAGGGAACCAGGCGAAGATCAGAAACCGAGAAGGCTAAGGCTAAGGCTAAGGCTAAGGCAAATGACAAGGGCTAAGGCTAAGGAAAATGACAAGGGC